TACAGTCAAAGTGGCAGACTTTGGCATGGCCAGAGATGTTTTTGATAAGGAGTATTACAGTATTCAGGATCACCGGAAGGCTAAGCTGCCAGTCAAGTGGATGGCCATTGAGAGTCTGCAGACACAGAAATTCACCTCCAAATCCGATGTGGTGAGCAAATGAAGATCTACATTAGTATACCTGGGGTCGGGCCTCTCAAGGGTTTGCAAGGTAAATTTGAGGGGTCACGAAATGATAGGAAAGTGAAAAAACTAATCTTTGATCACCCCCCCCCCCCCCCCCCCCCGTGATCTAAAGGATACTTTTACCTCTTTAGGCCTTTAAAATTATTTAAATAAAACAAGGTAATAAAAATTTGCATGTAAACATGGCTTTGGTTCAAGGGGTCCCAGGACCCAACGTTTGGAAAACACTCCTCTACAAAACATTTAACGTTGATTGCCACCTTGTTGGGTTATGCACTAAATCTTCCAGATTGCTTCACACATTGAAAGTTGTATATAGGTTTTACGCTTGTCTTAACAAAACAAGCAAACACAATACTGATTGGGAGTTCAGGGCTGTACAAGTGTACTGGAACTTGCGATAACTTTTTGCCTTTCCTGACCCAGTGGTCCTTTGGTGTTCTGATGTGGGAGATGCTGACCAGAGGAGCGAGCCCCTACCCAGAGGTTGACCCTTATGACATAACACATTTCTTACTGAAGGGCAGAAGGCTTCCCCAGCCTCAGTACTGCCCTGACCCTTTGTAAGTAGTAGGAGTAATTACATGTTGCTGTAATTTAATCTCATGATTGTAAATGTGTTGCTTAGTTGTATACATCCACTGTAAAACTTCACAGAATTAAGGACTGTTTTAGTATGAATGCTTATACTACAATACTACTAACACAGGTTTTCAGCTACAAGACAGAAGAGAAAAGATACTGACACAAAGTCCAAGTAGTAATAACAAGATCTTCGAATGGTCACTCAGTAGTGTGAAACCAGTAAATTGTCCACGACTTGATATTCCAACACGGTTAAGCAATGCACTTTGGGAGTTAATGTGTATGTCTACAAGACACCTCGACGCACAGTGCTAGTTTCACACACATGAAAACACACACACACACACACACACACACACACACACACACACACACACTTATGTAGAAAAGCCTAAATGTTTTTGCTGTTTTAATGATGAATACCTTGGACTGTAAGCGTTTGCCCACCAACTTACAGATTGATGGAGAATAAATCAACCATTCACATCCCTGGTCAACTGAGGCCGTGTCACACATCTAACATGGGTTAAGGACTCGTGGAAAAGTGTCAACCAGGAACACCAACACTGGATGAAATATCATTTTTTTTGCCCTTGATGAAAGTTAGATGAGAAGTTCGATACCGTTTTCATGTATATTGATTCAGTATGAATCTAGAGCCAACAGATGGTTGGCTTAGCTTAGTTTAAAGACTGTAAACAGGGTAACAGCTAGCCTGGCTCTGACCAGAGGTATCAAAATCCCCCTACCAGCACCTCTAAAACTCACTAAATGCCATGTTTATGTGGTGTTTGTTTAATCTGTAAAAAGCACTACGTTGTCATTCTATGGGGCACTTTGGTTTTTGTATGGATTAAAACAGCTGGGCTAGCTGTTTCCAGTCTTATTTTCTAAGTTAACTGCTGACTCCACCTACATCCTTACCATACAGATGTAAAGAGTGGTATGGATGTTCTCCTTCCACTCTCAGCAGGATTGCTAGTAAGTATATTCCTACAACTGGTTGATGTTCAGGATAACTTATTTTAGTTGGCAACATTCCTTATTTACCTGACCACAGTATAATTTTAACTTTTCTATCACTGCCAAACAGTGCTTAAAGGGGCTAAACAGGTGTATTTCACCTATTCTAGTGCAACATAGCTGGGTCAGACAATCAAGTCTGCACTTGCCCACACAGTCTTTAGAAGAGGTCTAATAAGGCACAATAAGTAAAAACACCCATGTGGGTGGATTGTGGGTGTGTACGGTCTTTAAGATCCAGCAGCCATCAGCTTCAGACAGATAAAAAAACACAACACCTTGTGAGCTCTGTTTATAAAATGTGCAAGTCTGGTATTTCAGGAAATGCGAAAGTAATTAGAGATTTTTTTAATGATAGCCAAAATATAGTGGACTGTGTTGGCTATTCCCTCAGAGTTTGTCCATGTTTTTACAGGTATAGCATTATGCTTCAGTGCTGGGACCCTGATCCAGAGATGAGGCCTAGCTTTGCTACACTGGTGTCGGCTGTCTCTACCATCCTGTCTGGCCTGGAGGGAGAACACTACATCAGTCTGAATGTCACCTACGTCAACCTGGACCAGCCTCGGCCCTACCCCGCCCTCACAGAGTCTGCTGACGAAGACGAATCCACAGATATTGAAGACTCAGGCTCAGTCTCTTCCTGATCCACTCCTCTTCCTCTCTCGACTTAGACTTCTTAGTCTTCTTAGACTTCTTCCTCTTAGACTGGTATCGGTGCTAACAGCATGAGCAAAGAAACAAACAAACCCAAAACAAAACTCTGCTAGGTTACAACACGTTTCTTACTACCTGAAACAGAGATACTGTTTGGGTGCGTGAAAGTGGTAGTAAGATGCCACACCAGCCATATTGGAGGTCTGTCACTTTCAACAATAGCTGAGTAAAATGTGAACTTCCAAACTTGGTCAGATATTGAATAGACATTCAATCTCTGTGTTATTTTTCACTGCTAACAATAAATGTCACTGTTGATACATCTAATCTAGTTTTGTAGTTACAGCTTGTTAGCCAGCCAAACAAAACACGCCTTGTTGTTAACACTTCCTATGTACCCATTAATTGGCATTTCACTGGTTTGCTAAATCACGCTGCAGGTTAGCTAGCTGGACAACAATGGTAAAAACAGAGTTTGTTGAATTAGGGTCTTCTAACACCACCGTAATGTGCAAAGAAAGTCACATGCCTGGGCTAAATGGTAACAAAATCTTACTCATTGCTGAACAGACCTGTTCCAAAACTACAGGAGTCTTTTTCAGATATTTGTTTTTCTTTTCTTGCCCAGCTAGTATTAATGTAGTCATTATAAATGCTTGCCATGTAATTTTATCCATGTCTAACAGTGTTGGCTACAGTATTGAGGAAAGGAGTCACAAAAGTAGTTCTACAATGCAAACAAGTTAAATCTAGAGGCTTTCTACTACCTACAACATAGTGTACTGTTACAGCAGCAGAGCCCATGTGTATATACGTTTAGGTATGACAATCACACATTTGCTTTTAATTCTTTTGCAGTGTAGTGATTGTACTGTGTATTTTGGATCATACCTTTTGTAAGGCAGAATGTTGACCACAATGCTCTGAATGCTTTGTATTTCTGACACACTGTCTTTGAGATAATGTGTAATGAATTAAAATATTTATTTGTTTATAGATTTGTTCTCATGCTGTGGACTTTAAGTAAAAATGAGAATTTATGCAAACTCTGCCTTTTGTAATTGATTTATGTCACAGTCAAATATTTTCCCATATGGATGCTAAGTGAATTGACTGAACTCAGTCTTTTGTTGCAGTTCTCCACCAGAGGTCAGCATCTTGTTAGAAAATCTCTGCATTGTTGCTGATCTGCTCCTGAAAAGGTACCCGGCAACATGGATGCAGCATTCTTTGTGTGTGCATCATTTTGCAGCAGCATAGCAACGCGTATGACCCAGGTCTTTCCCCTTATCTCTTTAAACCAACAAATAAGCCCTCTAGATGCCAAATAAGATTTAAAAGCAGACCAGAACAATGCAACGGACCAGGCAGACATGTTTTCCTCTTTCCTTCCTTTAATTTGCTCTGCCTTCAGACATTTGGCAGACGCAAACGACTGCAATGTCAATTAAATGAGTGGAAGAAACAACCAACCTAGACAAACAATCTGTCAATCTCACAAATAAACCTAACAACAACATACAGTAGCAACTCCCTGTGCTGTAAACAGACGTCACACACAACAAGCACACTTCCCCCACAACAAAACCCGAGTCAAATAAAACCAGAGGGAAATAAACATCATAAAGTTTTCTCTTTTTTTCGTGCTGCCAAAAACAAAAAGTCAATCCCTGAGTGGTGGGGCCTTTGATATAGACAGAGCGAGTGAGCCCAGCACAGTGTACGTTATCAAAATATACGTGTGTGTGTGTTTCGCAGGGCAGGGCCCACAGGATCCACAAAGCAGAAGGATCAAGACAGCCACAACTCCACCCCCACTCCTTTTCTCTCTCTGTATCTCCTGTTCCCTGTTGTATTATCTTGCCTATAAAAAAGTACAGAACCTGTTAAAAGTGCTGCGGTCAGGTGTGTGACCATCTTAAACTTCATAGCCATTCTCCTGATCTGGGTTTATCATTAGGTCCCACACACTATAGGCTTTTTATGTGTATCTGATCTTTTTACCCTTCCCTTCTTCTGATGTGATTGTTTAGATGGACTTCAAGAGACTGCAATAAGAGAGGTGATGCTGATTGATCATGATGCAGAGAGTGTGTGCGGTTTACTGTATGTCTGTATGCTGTATGTGTTATATGGCAGCCACATCAGAGGAAACCTGAATAACCAGTCTTTGGGTGCTGTGTCAAGTTTGGAGTGAGGGAAAGCAATCTGTGAGATTGGCCAAGACTTTCTGAAAGTAGTAGGCTAATTATTTCCGTTGCTATGTAATGATGGCTGGCCCTCACAAATAAGTGTTGGAGCCGATCTGGGTGTTCTTGGATTCTTTTCCAGTAGGATCTGGCATAAAAACCCTATGGAACCAGTGAAGCAAGACTCATCATATATTACACTGTGCTGCAGGAAATAGCTAAAACGCCAAGAAAGAGAGGTATTTTGCACATATTCTGCATTTGCATTCAGATAAGCTTATTTTGCACTAGTTGTATTAAAAGTTTTAACCCTAGACCTGAGTTACTTTTTGTCTTTTTCAATTCATCCTGAATCCACCAATCCTCTGCAGAAAAGTGGTGCTCATGGCGTTACGTTCAGCTGAGCTGAATGCAGGAGACAGAGGTTTGGACCCAAAATGCAGACACGGAGCAGGTACTAGTGAGTAGGTGAGGTTTATTCTCAGTAATGGTGAAAACCTACAGCTGCAGGTGTAAGCAGTCCCAGAAACACAAAGCACAGAAGGTTGAGTAATCCTAAATCCAAAGAAAGTAAATCCACAAAACACAGGACGAACAAGAAACACTGGAGGACCACTGGAGACACTAGCACGGAAAACAACGAACTGGCAAGAAATGAAAATCAGACAACCACTTAAATACACAGGTGAGGGAGCAACTAGTATCCACTAAAGCACAGGAAGTAAAACATAACAACACACACAAGAGCAGACTAAAAACTAAAACAGGACGTAAAGCTAACAGAAACATACAGGGAAGGCTAACAAAACACATGGCATGACTGCATTACTGATATAACATATACAAAAGCTATGAACACAGTAAATCAAGACCAGAACACTAGGGCAGAATGAAACTACAATGAAACTTAGGAAACCCCACATAACACAGCCAACCAAACCAAACCCATGACAGTTGGTGAGATAAAGCTATTTTACAATAATGGAATAACATTTAAGTTTCAGCACTGCTCTTCTTTCAGCCGGTCTGTAAGCATACTACAAAATGAAGTTACAATCTGCTACATTTTGCAACCTTGCATTTTCAGCCCCAAACAACCATGGTGTACAGAAATCATTCAAAATGATTCAACTGCACTGTCTTTGGACCTTAATGTTTTTGCAGTGGCTGTTAGAGGCAGGCATTAAGAGGAAAATATGTTTGTACCTTGTTCAAACATTACTGGTGCATCCAGCTCTCCCCAGTCTGAGCACTTATTGCTATATTTCAATTTACTACTTCCTGTGTGCTGAGAAGATTTCCTGTGACCATACACTACAGACCATAAATTACACTTAATGGGTTTAATGCATGTCACAGTAAGTGGCCATTACTGTTGCAATTGCAGTGAATGCATAGTTTAGAGTCCAATTTGCACATTTAATTATTGCAAATTGCCTCTTTATAATATGATAGAACTTTATTTTTATTGCACGTTCATATATACAATGCACTGCTTCACATTATTGAATGTAAAAACATTTAAACAACTAATCAAATTAAAAGGTGTCTTAATTGGTGGGGTAAGTATTGGGGTAAACAATTTAGTAGGGATGCACGATAATTATCCATGCCATAAATTATCAGCCGATATTGGGCGTATTGTCATTATAACAATTGGAAATTGAAATTTTGACAGATAATTTAGCCGACAAGAATAAACAATGCTTTAACGTGCATAGCTGCTGTTGTTGCGCTCATAACGTCAAATTGCTGCACCTGAATGGAGCCATGCAACCACAGTGTAGGCAGCGAGGGCCAAACAAACATGTTGTCGACAGTTTGGATGTTTTTCACAGTTTCACAGAAGAAGACAGCTATATTGCAATATGCAATTCATACTCTGCAATGGTTCTGAGAGGAGTGAAATGTTGTGAATTTCAACACAAGTCACCTGACAGTTTTTCATAACAACGAAGATGTGATAAAAGAATACAAAGTAACAGCTAAAATTAGCACAAGCAAAGAGAGAAACCATGAAAAAATAAAGAAATTATTGGTTATCGGATTGATGAGAAGTAGGCAATTATCAGTTATCTGATTGGTGGGGAAAAAATCTATATCGTGCATCGCTACAATTTAGATCCTTAGCTAGTAATATACTAATAAGGTAGCCAATGCAAAAATATCTATTATGTGCTCTTTTTTGAAATGTTTTTGTTAAAACTCAGGCAGCTGAATTCTGTACGAACTGTAGTCTATTCACTCATGTTTTTTGAGTAATCCAGTTAGCATTACTCCAAGCAAGAGAAAACCAAATTATGAATTCAATTCTTTGCATTAGTTTTGCAATATTTCTCAGAAATGTAGTCCAAAATGCTGACTTAGGTTTAAATCATTGTGATGAAACCCAATATTTTTGCTTCAGATTGAGTTGGCTTTGCCAGAGTCATCTGAGAATTTTGTCTCTTAGAATCAGCACCTACAACCACAATTTCAGTTTTCCCTTTATTTTAATTTCAAATAGCTGCACATCCAAAACTCTGCTCATGAAGTACTGGTAATATGTACAGTTGAGTGTCTTCTGCATAGCTGTAAATATATCATATTGGCAAGTGGAAGCACATAGAGTGACAAAAGGAGGGGTAGTATGTAACCCCGTGGAACACCATATGAAGTATAAAGGGAAACATGCTCACAAATACTAAAAACATGTCTCTCTGTTAAATAACATGGTTTGAACAGACAGAAGTGGTTTAGAGCTGGTGCATACACTGCATTTCTTTTCAGGCAGCACAATTGACTTTAGAGTCGCACCAAATTTCAGTTTTGTTATCCATCGTCAGGCTGTCACACAGTTAAAGCAGAACCGCAAGCCGATTCCCCATGATTTGTGCTTTTTTCTCTCAGTGCACCTGCAAGAAGTGGAGAACACCATAACTTACACCCGCACCTCTTTTTGTTGTTGTAGAGTAGCCAAAAACTGTACTCAAGTAAAAGTACTGTTACTTTGCAAAAACAAGTATAGGCTACTCAAGTAGAAGTAAAAGTACAAAAGTATTTACTAAAAAAATTACTTGAGTAGCGAGTAACTAAGTCTTTTATTTGATGTGGATGTGACTAGAATTATTTCATTATGCTCTTCCTCAGGTAAAGGTACAGAAGTGAACATATACTTGAATATATTTGTGAGGAAATTACAAGTCATCATCTCATTTGATTAGATAACCTGCCTTAAATGCAGACTACTCTACACTGTTAGCTTGATTATTTCCATTAAGGCAGCAAGCAGAAGGAGTTTTTAAGAACGACATACTGAGTGTCGTTATTTATTATTAAACATATCAGCATTAACACAACAGACACTGCTCTCTGTCAACTCAGTGTCAGCACGATGTAGCCTACTGACTTCACAACCAAACCCGCTGCACCAACATGGTCTCATCCCAGGGCATCAGATACCAACGCTTTGAGAAAGCCTGACACAGTGTCAATTTTGGACGCACTAGAATGAGACAGGGCTGGCTGCATGGTGCGCTAAATTTTACTGTGTAGTCTAAATAGTAGCTGCTAGCGTCATTTGGAAGCCATACTACTATGCTGTAGCTTCAGCCATTATTCTGTTCTAACAGAGTCATGTGGATGCTTGACAGCATGATGAATGTTTCCAAATCTAGCGTCGTAAAAGTAATGATTTTTCTCTCAAAAACTATTCAAGTAAGAGTGAAAGTATGATGCATTAAAACTGCTCTGACAAGTACCATTTATTTAAAAAAATTACTTGAGTACACGTAACGGAGTAAATGTAACTTGTTACTACCCACCTCTGGTGCCTTATTAGCATTATTGCTGCCTCAAACAAGTCTTCTATTGACTATCGTCT